TAGAGGAATTTTGATCAGAATAACATAAGTAGCAGAGATGGAATAGAACATTTTATGCATGTTTTAAGAATTATTGGAATATTTATTCTTCTCATTATTTTTTATTTCAACTTAACATTTCCTTTCTTTAGGAATTGCATAGTTCTGAATTAAGTAATAAATTCTCAAGAATAAAAACAATTGTAACCATACATTCAGGCAAAAACATTATGCCACTAGTGATACTATAACAAACCATATGAAACTGGGCATAACTTTCAGCCCATTGAAACACTTCATTCAATAACACATTGATAGTGAGATTAGTCAAAAGATCTAAAGACAATGGGTATGAAATAGGCAATGGTCAATATACAGTCTGGTTTCTAAACCCTGTGCTTTTAAGTAATACTCTTTTAATATTAATGGTTACACCACATTTTAATACTATAGAGAATGAAGAGAAGTATAAAACAAGAAAATAAGATCCAGTAAACAGGCAATAACTGTGATAATTAATGTTGATATTTTTAAAGTACTATTGTCTTCATGTAGTCCTTTTTGTGTCAGACTGGGAGTCATGTCCTAGTGTTAATCTTTCCATGGACAGTTTCTTTAACGTTAGGCTGTCTCAGTACCTTGGTAGACTGAGACTAAGACAAATCTATCGAATTTATTCCGAAAGTAAAATACACAATCAGAAGGTGGTATTAATGTGTCCACACAGTAACAAATAACCAATTTAACTTTTTATTTTTCCTGTTGAAATGAATGGTTGGGATAATTGTTCACTTGTTTATTTTGATAAAGCCACAGCCTCCAGGGCTTTACCTATGCAATTACCTCTGGGCTGACATCTGACTCTGGAGATTCCAAAGATTATAAGTTATTTCCCCACCGGTACCGGAGGAATTAAGTCCTATTTAGGAAGACTTTGACGTTGCATGGAGGAGTTAAGAGATTTCAGTGAAAATTATAAAACTGTGTAAAAATAATAAAGCAGTAACCACAGGACATAAAAATCTCTCTGAATTCTTTAAAGAGTTATGAGTAATTTCCCTTGCATAAACAAGTTATTCTGAAAGGGTTCTAAAGTAATTTAGAGGGAAAGCCTGGAGAGCATATGAAAACCCACATGGCAAGCCGGATCACTTTTTTAAAAAGTTTGTCAATCTAATGAGCACTTAATTAAAGTCAACAGAGTCTCTAAGTCTCCAAGTAATTTTCAAAAAGAGCTTTTGGGAGAGGGAACATTTTTCTCCATGCTTGTCCTCTTTTTCTCTTGTTCTCCATTTGTCTGATAACTGCGGAAAGCCTTTATAATACCATCTTTGGGGTTTTATTCTTATTAACTCTTTCTTCTCATCACATTGCTCAGTTTAAGACCAACCAAATATAAATATATAAACTTTTTTTCTATTAAAATACCAATTTTGTGGTGTTAGAAAAGAATTATTTTACCAGTTCTTTGGTAAAAATTTTTTTTACCAAAATAAAGTTTGACCATGCTCTAAATTTGGAGCCTTTTGATAACCTATTCAGATAGAAATATATAATATACATATATGATATAAATATATAAATATAAATATATAAGTATGTTTGGTCATTTCAGATCAGTTTTATTTATTTGTTTTTAAAGATTGGCACCTGAGCTAACAACTGTTGCCAATCTTCTTTTTTTTTTTTCTGCTTTTTCTCCCAAAATCCCTCAAGTATATAGTTGTATATTTTTTTAGTTGTGGTTCTTTATAGTTGTGGCATGTGGGACGCCGCCTCAACACGGCCTGATGAATGGTGCCATGTCCTTGCCCAGGATCCGAACTGGTGAAACCCTGGGCCGCCGAAGTAGAGCACCCAAACTTAACCACTCAGCCACGGGGCTGGCCCCTATTTATTTAGTTAGCTGTTTTTATGCTTTTTGGTGAGGAAGATTGGCCCTGAGCTAAGATCTTTTGCCAATCTTCCTCTTTTTTTCTCCCCAAAGCCCCAGTACATAGTTGTATATCCTAGTTGTAGGTGATTCTAGTTCTTCTATGTGGGATGCCACTCCAGCATGGCTTGATGAGAGATGTGTAGGTCTACACCCAGGATCCAAATTGGCGGGCCCTGGGTCGCCAAAGTGGAACGTGTGAACTTAACCACTTGGCCACAGGGACAGCACCTTAGGTCAGTTTTGATCTGCTCACTTCTTGTCAGAAGTGACCAAGAGGAGTAAAAAGGAGAAGAGGGACGCAGGAGGCAGCTGTCAGTTAGAGGATGGACTAGAAATATTAAGTATTTCATAATTCATTGCAAAAAACTAAACTAATAGTAAAATATATGATTGTTGTAGAAAGCTTGGGAAATATAAAAATGGCTAATTTCTAATAGTCTCTTAATACAGAAACAACTCCCCTTCTTTCTTTGGACTATTTGTTCAGTTCCTTTTCTGTGAATGAACTAGGATTATGGTTTTGAGCCCAGAAACCACTCCTTCTACTCCCCCTGCCCTTCAGCTCTTCCTCTTCCTCACTCTATTGACATTGGCTGTTTAAGAGGGAGTTGAGAAGTCTCCTAAGAAATCAATGAAAACATTTCCAATTTTTGAGGCCCAGATGTATACCTGCATCTCTGATGAAACTGTGGACACCAAGATGAATGTGTGAAAGGATTATGGAATCACTAGAATAAAAATCCATTCTTAAATTAGAGAAAGGAAGAACAGGGCCTGAGGGATGGGGAAGAATGCGTCCAGGTAAGATATGGCTTTTTATAAACAGCACAAAATCAGCCATGCTAGACACATTTATGTGCTCAAAGGGGAGAAAGACCATCTGAATATGAAGAAAAAGTAGATATATTTTGTGGTATATACCACCATGTTTTTTTTCTAAAATTTATTGCTATTTTCATGTATTCTCAGCTGATAAGCAGTGGGACCAGGATTTGTACCTCATAAGTCTGATTTTCAAAGTCCTTGCTTTCAATCATTATATCATTTTGCCTCTCATAAAAGCAATAGGCAAGCTATTATATATTATAGGCTGCAACTGTCCTCATTCATTAATATTTCAATTTTATTTGGTATTTAGGAGGAGGAAGTTACAAAAATTCTTAATTTTAAAGTATTTTGTTGGTTCATTTTATTTTATTTATTTTAGGAACTAGGGTCACAAGGCCACATATTGGACAATTACACTCAGAGCGTAAGATAAAATCCAAATGCTTGCAAAGGGAAGTTCTCTAGGGTCTTTAAAAAACAAACAGAAACAAACCATTTCTTATTATCACTGTATGTGCATAAAAATCCATACTAAAAAACCTTCTCAAAAGGATTCTAATGCAATCTTATATACTGTGTTTGTTCTTACACAAGCTTCTAAAAAGTTAAGCTTCGTCCCAGCCCAAGTCTATTTACAGTTATTTTGCATTACTGCACACCCAAATCTACTGGAATCTTACCATACAGAAATAAGCATTTAGAAATTCCTTCCAGGGGCCAGCTGGTGGCCATGCTATGGCAGCATCGCACATACAAAATGGAGGAGCATTGGCATGGATGTTAGTTCAGTGACCATCTTCCTCAAGCAAAAAGAAAAAGATCGGCAACAGATGTTGGCTCAGGGCCAATCTTCCTCACCATAAAGAAAGAAAGATATTCTTCCTAGATAATATTGAGAGAAAAGCTAGCATAAATGAATTTTTCCTGTTTGTGACAAAGACTTAGTAAGTCAGAATCTTCTCTCAAAGACCTGCTGTGTGATGTCATAAACTTTGTGTCTTGGAGAATAGAAATATTAGCAGAATTGAGGGTACAATTCCAGTGGTTAACTGACTCTCTCCCTCAGTAGATAGGCATTTAGGGGCATTAAGAATGGGCAGATTGAGCCATCATGCTATCTGCTGGCCTGCGCCCATCCTTCCTTCACTGGCAGTAGAAACAAAAGGGGCTAGAGGATGACGCTGTGGGCTCTCACACACAATTCTTGTCTAGGATAAACTTAAAGGGCTCAAGAGCACCCTGAAAAATAATGCTGTCTACATATCTCTACACCGAGGAACAGTAGAAAACTAATTTCCATTGCTAAAAGGAACACTAAGGAAAATCCCAGAACAGAACAGACTACCATGCTCACGTAGCTATATTCAACAGAACACAGATACTTAAACAGAAAACAAAAAAAAGAAGCATTGGGAACCTCCCAGGAGCCCTTGGGTCTAAGCCTCCAAGAAATAAAGAGAGTTACAACAAATAAAAACTGTTATCTTCAAACGTTTGTACTTAGGTAGCTCATAAAATGTTTTAAATTTATGTGCTCTTCTTTGCATATTCATAAGTTGACATGTAAAAGTTTTTGTTATACATTTAAATAAAATTATTTTTAATAAAAGAAAGTTAAAATATTTTACGTTTTGAGAAATAAAATATGATGTTTGACTATAATTGAAATAAAAATTCTGTATGTTGACACAATAGGTTTTAACTACCTTATTGGATAAAGTACACTAAATCTGAAAGAAATCAGATAACTCTTATGTCTTTGGCTTTATAAAATGTTATCTGGGAAAATTTACCTGTTTGGGAAAACACTCCAGTTACATTTAAAATAATCGGTGTCAATAACTTACATTACTCGGGCAGTTTGCATTTGGGACCTTCCAACAGTGGCCAAAGAAGTTGTTTTTAATGCCAACCACTCTTCATCTTTAATAGAAATATGCATAAGAAAGGGAGCTTTGATTAATCTGTAAAGGAAGCTGCCTCGAACCCAGTGTTTTGATTTTTCCTTTGACTAGCACTGGAAGATTTTTACACCTCAGGGCAATTCACCATCTTAAGATTTAGGATGGATGAGAGATGTGTATTTCTTCTGTAAAATAGCTAAAAGGACTATTTTGAAGGTAGAGTTATTCTCAGGCAAATGAATTTTCTGGAGGAAACTTTATATGGAACTCGAACATCTAGAAATTGATCCCCTAAAACGATCTACACCTATATGCCACTTAAATATTTTCTCTTGACCTGAGGGTACCCTTACCTCTCCTTGAACTGCTGGGTTAAGGAAGAGCTCCCCTCCTAGAAGTTATCAACCTTCTTTTAACAGGAATAACCTAAGGCATCTGTAGACAGGAGCAATGACAGAACAGGGGAGAAAGGCAGGAGAATTAAGGGGAATATGAGCTTCTAGTTTGGGATGCTTCAGAACCCCATAGAAAGCAGAGAACTTACCTGGAGTGTAGAACAAACAAGGATTCTATTGTGAGTTAAAGATGGAAGTCTAAAATTCCTTGAGTTCATTTTTCAATAAGAGATGAATTCATTCATTATGCTTTCAAACTGAAATGGATGTAAGAATCATGTGGTTTATGTCTTTGTTCTTGAAATCTACATCCCGGTACCACATGTTCTCCAGATCCTTCTACCCAGGGCAGCTGCAAAAAAGGTGCTCACGATTAGTGATGATTGCACTCACAAGCACCTGCAATGGACAGTGTGTTGCCAATGTCCCAGAGAGCAGACGCCACCTCCACCCTCTGAGCCTGGCAGTCAGCCCCTGCACAGGAAGGCAAGTGTGTGTACACACACACACACACATACATACATGAGTGTCATTGAATATCAGCATTCAATGTCAACAGACACCCCCTAGAAATCTAGACAATCCATCCAGACTCAACTAACTCCTTCCAGGTTCTGGTGGACTCTGAAAAAGTTTATTCACGTCCACTAGGGGCTCCTTTTTGGGCAAGAAAGCTCTCAGTTTAAACTCATTATCCTGCATCCAGCTGTCCCCTCTGATAATCATAATCTATGCCACAGTTCTCTACTCTCCAGTCACGCAATGTCACCCTATTCTTCCTCTCAAACCTTTCCTTTATGTCCTCAGATCCCCCATTTAAGAATTAACAAGCACATAGATGTGTGGGCTTATTTCTGGGTTCTCAGTTCTCTTCCATTGATCTGTGTGTCTCTTTTTGTGCCAGTACCATGCTGTTTTAGTTACTATAGCTGTGTAGTATATTTTGAAATCAGGGAATGTGATACCTCCAGCTTTGGTCCTTTTCTTTAGGATTCCTTTGGCTAACCAGGGTCTTTTGTTGTTCCATATAAATTTTAGGATTCTTTGTTCTATTTCTGTGAAAAATGTCATTGGGACTTTGATAGGATTGCGTTGAATCGTGCCTATCAATGGATGGATGGATAAAGAAGCTGTGGCATATAGCTACAATGGAATACTACTCAGCTATAGGAAAAGATGAAATCTTGCCATTTGAGACATGGATGGACCTTGAGGGTATTATGCTAAGTGAAATAAGTCAGATGGAGAAAGTCAAATACCACATGATCTCACTCATAAGTAGACTAAAAACAACCACCACCACCACCACCAAACACATAGATACGAAGATTGGATTGGTGGTTACCAGAGGGGAGGCGGGGAGAGAGGAGGGCGAAAGGGATGATCAGGCACATGTGCACACTGAGAGATGGTAATTAGTCTTTGGGTTATAAACATGATGCAGTCTACACAGAAATCGAAATATAATGATGTACATTTGAAATTGACATAATGTTATAAATCAAAGTTACCTCAATAAAAAAAAAAAGAATCAAAAAGCACAGTTCCACCCTCAGCCTCTCCAAGGAATAGCTTCCTGTATTTGCTTTTTTCTCTGAAATCTCGTTCTGGTTCCCCCCTAAGGACAGTCTCTACTTCTATGGAGTAGAAATTTCACATTCTTCTGTACCCCATGTACTTCCATGTGGTGTTCTCCTCCCAATACTACCTTCAGAGCATAAATAGGGGACAGGGTAAACAAAATTGGCAAAGAGTTTCCTACCCAGGGGACCTGGACAGGGCGCCCATGTTATGCGCTACAACTTCTCATCTCTTTCACATCTTCCTTCTGTCAGCCTCCTTCTGCCTTTCCTCGCTGAGGCGGGTTAGAGAAGGTGGCACACTTCTTTGACACTCTTTCCAGAAAGAGGAGTCTGTGTCTTCCTCATTTGAGTCACAGCAGCCTGGGTGACTGCTTGACCAAGAGAATAAGGCAAAAATGACACTATGCCAGTTTCTAGGACCAGCCCTCAAGAGACCGTCAGTTTTCACTTCCTGTCTCCTGGAATAGTTGCTCTTGGAACCCAGCGGGTATGCTGTGAGGAAGCCCAAAGCAGCCCCTTGTAGAGCCCATGTGGAGATAAAGGAGACCTCGAGTCGTCAGCCTTGGCTAAGCTCCCACGTAACAGCCAGCGCTGACTTCCCGGCGACAACCTGTAAGTGAGGCATCTGGCAAGGTGATTCCTTAACTCCAGTAGAGCCCGCCAGATAATGACCTGTGAAAACTGTTGGATTTTTTAACAAAATAAATGACTGTTCTTGTTTAATGCCACCAGTTTTTGGGGTGGTCTTTTACACAGCAATCAATAAAACCAGAACACTTGGTTATGCACCTAGCTTTAAGTGGCCTATTCCATTACTTCCATTCTTGCTAATATTCTTGTCTCCGAGACTCACTGACCTTTTCTGACTGCTCCAGACAAAATGTTTACCATGGACCAGCTCACCTGTCTGCCTGTACCCTGTCTACCCTCATGTTTCTGATCACAGCTATAATCCCATGGTTTCCACCCTCAGCTGGTCTTGCATCCTGCTCAGACATCCAGTATTTCTGTATCTTATCTCTCTTATTTTACACAGTGTTTTTAGCCTACTCCTCTATTCTCAGTCCTTTGGCCAAGAAACCTAATTCCTCTCTCAGCGGATGAACTTACTTCCCAGTTCACAGCAAATAGAGAAGCCCCCCGACAGAATAACTCCATCATGCTGCTAGTTATTCTGTGTTTCCCTTCCCTCTGGCCTTCATCTTCAACTTCTTCTTAACTGTGTTCTTTCAAATAGTATTTAACTACAGTTAAACATTTCCCATGTTAGAAAAATGAGGAACTTCGATTCCACATTATCCTGCAGTCTTGCTTCTTCCCAGCTGTCTTTAATATCCAAGCTTCCTGAGAACACTCTTAGAGGCACTGCTTCCACTCTGCTACCTTCCCATTCACTTCACAACCACTCTGGTCTAGCTTCATGCCCTCACCACTACTGAAATTGATTGTCCTGGGGCAACTACATCTTCCCCTCTTACTATATCCACTGCATATCCACCATCCCTTATTTAAATTGATTTCTCTACAGCACTTGATTTTGTTGACCACTACTCTTTTCTGAAATGTTCTGTTCCCTTTGGCTACTGTTACTTTTTCTCCAAATTTTCTTCCCACCTCTCCGACTGCTCCTTCCAAATCCACTTTGCTATCTCTTCTTCTTTTTCCTGTTCCTGAATTGCTATCATTCTCAGTTCTACTAAAGACAAGAGGACCTACATCACATTACATATTCTCCCTAGATGACCTCATGTGAGCCCATGATTTCAAAATTTCTATTTCCATCCCGCATATTTCTCATGAGAGCTAGACCTATAATCTATATACCTATGGACTACCCACAGATATGCCCAAAACAACCTGTCTAAAAGAAAATGCATTTTCTTGATTACTAAAAGTACTTATTATCCCGTTTTGTTACGTAAATGGGAAAACCATCCTCTCAATTGCTAAAGTCAGAAACTCGGGTATCATTTTGACTCTTTTCTTTCCTTTATCCTACACATCTGAATATTGACTAGGCTGCTAGTTGTACATTTGGATTATCTTTAAATCTCTAAACTTCTTCCCATCCCCAGTTTAGAGAGCAATTATCTTTTTCTTATATAGGAGCTACAAGCTGTTCCCTACATTGCTAAATTCTATTTCTAAAATTTAAATATGTTCATGCAATTCCCTCAATTAGGAACTGTTTCATTAGTGACTCTTCCTTTCAAGATCCTGCTTTCCTCTGCAGCTTCATCTTCTACATCCCTATTACCCACCATGCTCACAGACGCTTCACACATATTTGTCCTCCCATGTATAACACTTACAATCCTGTTTCCCCTACCCACTTATCCACCCACCATAGCTATTCTGGTTACATCTCTGGCCTCAGATTAAACTTTACTTCTTCCAGGAATCTTGCCTTAAACTGTAAAGTCCAGGTTGCCATCATGTGCGATCTTCTAACGTACTGATTATCACTCAGGATGGTACTTACACACCACATTGCAATTTCCCATCTTCTCATTGATAGATTCCACAAGTCTGCAAGTTTTGGAGAATAGACAATGCGTTACTTCGTTTAGAGTATAACTTTGTACCTGGCACGTACAGAATGAATATTTTTGAATAAATAAATGAATGGTCCTCTCATTTTTTCCAATGAGAACATTAAGGCCCTAAGAGGAAACTGAAGGACACCACATTACATAGACTTCTGTGTGTTCTTCCCCAGCCAGTGGTTTGAAGCCTCATTTGACTGGAGTTGTATTTGAATGTGAAGCTTTGCACTTAGGCACATTGGAGTATAGGCATTGCTAAATTCTGAGGACAGTGTGGGATCAGGGTCCTATTCCTTCATCTGTCTCCCAGATTCCTAATACTTTGAATCAGATTCAGAGTCAGAAGAAAAAGAATATTCTTACTTTAAAAAAAGAAATGTCATTGGGGCTGGCCCCGTGGCCGAGTGGTTAAGTTGGCACGCTCCGCTGCAGACGGCCCAGTGTTTCTTTGGTTCAACTCCTGGGTGCAGACATGGCACTGCTCATCAGACCACGCTGAGGCGGCGTCCCACATGCCACAACTAGAAGGACCCACAATGAAGAATATACAACTATGTACTGGGGGGCTTTGGGGAGAAAAAGGAAACAAATAAAATCTTTAAAAAAAAATGTCATTGAATGAGTTTTCTCTGTTAGTGAAATAAATATGTATTTAAAAATTTATCTTTCTGGTGAATATTTTGATATCTAAATGAACTGTTCATCCGTTCTTTGAAACAAATATCGCTGAGGTTATAGTTGCTGTCGTAGCTGCTTCTTGACAACTGAAATAAATGGAAAATGGAGCATTTGTTCAATTCTGTTGATTTTCTTAATCACTGAACCTCAACACAATTTGTCCACTAGAATTTGAACCCCTGGTGGACCAGGAGTCTGTTTTATTTGTTTTTGTAGCTCTGGCACTTGTCATAGTATCTAGCAAAAAGAAGGTAGTTAATACATGTTAGGTGTGTGGATAGTTTTAAAGCTGCTCAATTC